AGGAGGAAAGGGAAAAAGGGCAGTTTTACTCCCTAAGCAGAGAAGCCAGCGGTCTCAAGGCTTGGCAAGCTAACGTTGCCAGGTGCTCCTCATGAATTCTGGGAAGGTCCCAACAAAGTAAAAGGGGCTGTGAGAATGAACCTGCACCAAAACATTCAGCAGAGGAGTCTTGCGACCTATCGGCAGGAGGGTATATAACGCCGTAGGCCTCCCCGCAACCTGCTCTTCAGATCAGCGGAGAGCCGTCTGTGCTTCGTAAGCCGGATGTGTAGGTTTGCTTGCTTTGCTTTTCCAATAAAGGTGCATGCTTTCATTGCTTTAATAAATTGGCTTTCATACCACAGGCAAGGTCTCTCGTATAAATTCATTTATATGAGAAGACAAGGATCGAGGTTGGGAACAGCCCTCTCCCACTGACTGGGGCGGGTGGGGGGCCTGTCGGGAACACCTCTCTGATGTTGGCGAGAGGTGCCTACAACAGCCTCCCAGCCAGTGGCACTCCGCTATAGCAGCCCAGCAAACCAATGAACCAGGTATTTCAGTATCTCTTCCACCTTAACTGTCTGTCGTTTACTTTCACGTGTGTAGAACTGTTGCATAGTTGATGAGAACTTCAATGGTTTGAGGTTTAAAATTCTCTTCGGTTGCCATGAGGATGCCATTTAATGTCCTTTAATAGGTTTGAGTTCACATTGTAGCAGACAAAGGCGCATTCTCATGCAAGCCGCCGCCTTCCCGGCTTTTTGCACTCCCAGTAGTAACAAATATATTTAAGTTATTATAATACACCCCCACACGCAGGTGTAATGGAAATGAGAGTTTCCTGAAACAATGCTTTCTTGTGCGGAGGGCTGGCCGGGGCGGCAATGGGAAAGTGTGTGCTTCTGGTTACCAGGCCTGTAATTTGAGCAGACGCCACCGTGTAAACAGTACTTGGTTCAGGTCTGTATGGCTCCCGGGGCTTCCCTTTTGTGTCAGTTACTAAGACACGTCCGTCTTAGACCGTTCAGGTTGCTATAACAGAATACCACCGACGGGTGGCTTATGAACAACAGGAATTTATTTCGCACAGAGCTAGAGGCTGGGACAGCCAAGGCTGAGGCACCGGCTTCCGGTCAGGGCCCTCCTCCAAGTTCATAGATGGTCATCTTTTTTTTTAATCCAATATGTGGTATTGGGATGGTTCCCCACTCGTCTTGATGTGAGGCGCGTTCAGTGCTGCCGCCTTCGGAAGGAGCATCCTCCTGCGAGCCTGGCTCTTCCTCCTGTTGGCTGACTGAACAGTGGAGCCACCAACACATAAAACTGCCCTTTGTTCCCTAGCTGGTTTGGCTCAATGGATAGAGCCTCCGTCTGCGGACTGAGGGGTCCCAGGTTCGATTCCGGCCAAGGGCACGTGCCTGGGTTTCGGGCTCGATTCCCAGTAGGGGGCGTGCAGAAGGCAGCCAATAAATGATTCTCTCTCATCATCGATATTTCTATCTCTCTCTCCCTCTCCCTTCCTCTCTGAAATCAATAAAATATATTTTTTTAAAAACTGCCCTTTGTGCGCGGCTGGAGACGGTGGTGATTCCACAGCATCCTGGGCATCTGCACCATGAAGGAGGAATGGGGGCTCTGCGCCAGGCGCTTCTTCTCCTGTTTCCTCTCCTCCTCTTCTGGGGAGGGATGGAGGCGAGCCTTAGCGAGAGGCATATTGTCCTGGGGAGGTGGTCACTGCCGGACAGGCTCGCCGGTGGTCATCTCGCGGTGGGACCTCACATAGCAGAAGGGGTGAGGGGCTCTCTGGGATCTCTCTCCTAAGGGCACGAATCCCATTCATGAGGGCTTCACCTTCATCACCTAACCACCTCTGGAAGACCCGCCTACCAATACCAACATGGCAGGCATGAGGATTTAACAAATGAATGGGGGGTAGGGGGGGTCACAAACATTCAATCTATAGCAAGTACAGAATAAGCCATCTGACTTTAATAAAATAGAAAGGATACATATGATAAATGTCATCATTAATATTTACTTGAGCTCTCGGCGGCTGTAAGCTTGCGAAGCAATGGTGCCCTAGCCGGCTTGGCTCAGTGGATAGAGCATTGGCCTGCAGACTGAAGGGTCTCAGGTTTGATTCCGGTCAAGGGCATATGCCTGGGCTGTGGCCTCCATCCCCAGTGGGGGGCGTGCAGGAGGCTGCCGATCCATGATTCTCTCTCATCATTGATGTTTCTGTCTCTCTCTCCCTCTCCCTTCCTCTCTGAAGTCAATAAAAGTTAAAAAAAATAAAATAAAAAATAAAGCAATGGTGCATTTGTGGGCTGCAGTGATTAGCATAACCCTGGCCAGGCCTGAGCCAAGGGCTCAGACAGGCCATCAGAGGCTCGGGGAATGACATATGTGTCTTTCTCTTCTTTGGAAACTGAGGATTCCACACACCTTTGCCCTCAAATCTCTTTACCAGTCCTATTTCTGACTTTCCTCTCTTTGTCAGATTTTGTTTAAAATTTTTCTTGACATCCTCTCTCCTTTTATACTTGAGCAATAAATGTGTGCAGAGTGATTCTAATCAACAAGCTTGTCACTGGCTGTATAAACCTCAAAGTAAAAGAAGAATGAATAATCCATTTAAAAAGTGCTGTGATTGTCACTGATCACCTGAGATGGACACGCCCTGTAGAGGGCAATATTTCTCGTTGCCTAGAAGTTTATAATATTTCAAAGACACAAAAATAAGGCCGAGTAGCCACACCCCAGGAGGGCAGAAATGAAGAAAGCCTTCTGGGCTCAGTAATGGTCACAGACATCCACCGGAAAGGAGACATCACTGATGATACGCTCGATTACTGTATGGATGGAAAAGGGGCCACATGCTGACCTGACAAGCTCAGGGAGGCCTGCATGGCGGTCTTGAAAACTCAAGGACCTAAAGTAGCCACAAGGATGGTCTGAAATTAAAACTTTTAACTAAAAGCAGTTATGGTGGGTAGTCACATCCTAGGCCGGTATCTTCCCTGACAAAGGTCAATCTTTACTTTAACTGAGCCTATTGCATATCATTGAAATGTCAGGGTATATTAGCATAACCAATGGACACAGACACTGGAGTGGGGGGGGGGGGGGGCTTGCCCTCAGGGGTGGGGAGTAGCAGGGGGGGTAAAGTGGGGGGGAGAGATGTATGTAATACTTTAAACAATAAAAAAAAAGAAATGTCAGGGAAACTTGTAACTTCCCTTTTCCTTTTTCTTGACCCCTCAGGGCACAACCAAAAGCCCTGGGCACCAGGATGGAGACCACAAATTCCTTCATTGTTATTGTTATCATATTAATTGTTGACTGCTCACTATCCTGTACCCACCTCAGTAAAAGAAGTATGTGTCTATCATTGTACTTTTTATCCAATCCCAGAGGTCCACCCCCCCGTTTGCTTTCTCCCGCCTCCCTAATCTATCACCAATGGATTTCACGTAACCCACTTACGTCCCCTCCTTTGATTGTAATGTATAAAACAAGGCGAAAAACTGCCATACTCTGGGGCAGCGGTCGCCAACCTTTCGGACCTCACAGACCACCAGCGCAACCACTGCTCTGGAGCATTATCCCAATCCATTGAGATTCTGCTTCCCAGCAATTGTCGACATGCCTGGGTTGTGAGCTCGATCCCCAGTAGGGGGCAGCCGATCAATGATTCTCTCTCATCATTGATGTTTCTCTCTCTTTCCCTCTCCCTTCCTCTCTGAAATCAATAACAATATTTTTTAAAGAATTTATGGTCCACACTTCTCCCTGCTCCTCCTCCCCAAACCAGGAAACGCAATGTCCCATGACAGTGACCCAGAAATAAAAAGTAGTTACGTTTAGTACAAGAAACATACAAAGAGGTTCCTTTACGAATTTAACGTTTTTAGAGCGGCATCAGAAAAGAGGGCGTGATGGTTTCCTTTTTTGCTGTGTGTGAGTGTTAATACCTCTCAAGGCCTTTACAAGCCCCCCATCCACACGTTCTCATTTTACAGAGGAGATACAGCATCTGCTCGTTTTTGGAAGAGTGATACACAGAGCAAGAATTCCACGAGGGGCAGTGCGCTCAGCGGGCACAAATCTGTCTCTTGCTTCAACAGTGTTTGGACGGAACAGACCCAGGAAGGCCCCTGCTTCCAGCCTCCGGCCACTCTCCTGTCTTATCCAGTCACCACCTTCAGAACCACCTCCGGGACCAGCCAACACACCGGTTGTTGTTTTTCTACCTTAACTGCTTACTGCCGAACAACCATGAGCTCCCAAATTCATCAACTATTACACCCACCGAGGTGGAGGCTGCGGTCAACCGCCTGGCCAGCCTGCCTCTGGGGCCTCCCACACCTACCTCTCGGCTTCTATTTCGACCTGGACGATGGAAGTGGCTCTGGAGGGCGTGGGCCACTTCTGCGAGTTGGCAGAGAAGAATCGCGAGGGCACTGAGCGTCTTAAAGTTGCAAACCCAGCTCGGTGGCCACATTCTCTTCCAGGACGTGCTGAAGCCTCCCAAGATGAGGGGGCAAAACTCAGGACGCCATGGAGGCCGCCCTGGCCTTGGAGAGGAACCTGACCCAGGCCCTCTTGGAGCTGCAGGCCCTGGATTCTACCCGCACAGACCCTCAGCTCCGTGACTTCCTGCAGAACCACTTCCGGGGTGAGGAGGTGAAACGCATCAAGAAGATGGGCGACACCTGATTCACCTTGCAGGCTGCCGGCCCCCAGGCTGGGCTGGGCGCGTATCTCTTCCAAAGGCTCCCCCTCAAGCACGACTAGGAGCCTGTGGAGCCCAGAGGCCTCTGAGGGACCCCTCGGCCTCCCCCTGGTGTCTGGCTTTTACCTGAGCCTTTCCCCGAAGAAACTACTAGCCGTTCTTTTAACCACCCTGAAGCCCTCTCCCATGCATTGGACCAAATGAAACAATAAAGCTTTTTGCAGAAAAAAATAATAATAAAATTCCACGAGGTTTAGTGGAGACAGAATATTCCAATACTCACGTTGGAAGCCAGCTGCTCGGGTAACACTTGGCTGGTTCTCTACCACGTGGTTTATGGGGAAGGTGATCTTGTTGTTGCTGTTGTCATAACTACAAGCTGCGCTGCCATTTCCTGGGGGTCAGGTCGTTATTATGGGCAAAGCCTAACCCTAACCCTAACCCTCAGCGACTGAAGGACCTATTGGGTCAGTCTCTCCGCTCTGTTCTCCAGCCATAGAGCTGTTTTCACGGTCTCGCGGCAACGCGCATGGTCCTCGTGTTGAGGCTGGGCTCTCCTGGTGCTGGGAGACCAACAAAAGACTCCCGTACCTGCTTGTTGATGAGCAGTTTCCCGAGACCGTTCCTGGGGGCCCTGGCTCCTGGAGGTCCAGTTAGACGGTCGCTACATGAGTATTCCTCGGCCAATGAAGTTTTGAAACGTTGATTGAAGCCACATTAATTTGTCACAAAAATGTTCCTTTACTTCAGTCAGATGTCTCAGACCCTTCGGAAGTTCGTGTGCCTCGGGAGTCTCCTAGAAGGCAGACATGACCCAGAGCATGTCACTCGCTTTTTTGAGTGAAAACATCTTTTTTTTTCTTTTTGGCCAAGCATCTGGAGGGGCCGGTGTCCCGAGAAACATTCGTGGGGGCATGCTGTGTGACTTCAACCTGTACCTTACGACCAAGTGGTCCTGGTGGCTCTCTATTCCAGAAAAAACCCTGCCAACTGGGGTTTTCAGATACAATTTAGCGAAGCAGTTCATGGACCCTGTCCAAGGACCCACAAATCAGGGTCGGCCTGGAATAGCTCCTTTGCCTGTGCCCTTGGTCAGCCTTTGGTCACAGTACATAGATTGGGGTTTCAGATCCTGGTTCTCCCTCTTCCTCTCTCTCAACCTCTCTTTATCAGAGTCACAGAAATAGTTCTGAGCGCGTTCAGACACCAATAAACAAATAAATAAATCCCCCCAAACAAAAACAAATGCCTTGCCCATCAATGACGATGGCAGCTCAGCACTTTTAGGAAAGGCTCTCATCCCAGTCCCCTTTCCAAAGGGGCTACCTACCACATTAGAGATGCACGAGCAACCGCTCCGTGGTAGAAAGATGTGCTTCCAAATAAACAAGCTCTGAACTTTGGAAACGGTCCCGTCGTTGAATCTGAATGCATTTCAAGCTGTCGGCTCCGGGAGGCCAGGATTGAATTCTGGGGAGCAAGACTGTTTCCTGCCCAGCTTCCCGGGTGGCGGGGACTGGCGCCTCACTGTAAACAAACAAGGAACCTAGATCTGCGCGTGGGTTTCCGCCTGTGGCCAGGAGATGGCGCGTTCGGAAAACGTATGCCCGCATCTCGGTGGGCACACCAGGCCTTTCTGCTTTTCACACGAGGTCAAAGGTCCAGGGCAGGACTAGAAGACCCAGTATTGTCCAAGACCGTAATTCAAAACTGGAAGATGCATCCAGTTCTAGGGTGTGTTTCTTTGGGAGGACTTGGGGAGATTGCGAAAAGGGCTTTTCATTCTTTTTCCAGCCACGGCTTCACGGTTCCAGTTCCTTGACCTTTCTCGCTGCCCTGGAGGAAGAGAAACTTCCTGACTCGTACAATTGGACCGTCTGACCGTTCTTGTTCTCACAGGATGTCAGATTGGGAAGGAGTGTTGAGGACACTTGGTCCAGGCTCTCCCAGCGCAGGAATTGATCTCATTAGTAAAGACGCCATCTATTTTGAAAATCTCACTAAGGTCAACGGTTCGTTCATTCACGTACTGCGGCCCCTTGAGTGTGGCTCTTCCACAAAATACCACATGCGGGCGTGCACGTACAGTGTGATTGAAACTTTGTGGCCACACTCAAGGGGCCAAAGAGCCGCATGTGGCTCCAGAGCCGCAGTTTGCCGACCACTGGTCTAGGTGGGTTACTGCCTTGACTGCTGCCCTCACACGGCTTACGAGTCCTTTATTCATTCACAAATTCACTCGTTACACGGATGCTCAGTTATTTAATGGGGTTGGCTTCAAGAATGAAACGGTCCTGTGCCTCACCTTACTAAACCCTGCAACCAACCCCTGACACCGGTACTGCCACCCTCTGCCATGGCGGGTAAGGAAGCGGACACTCAGAAAGAGTAAGTCCCGAATCCCAGGACACAGCTCATAAGTGGTGGTGGTCGTGGCAGGGGCCTGACTCCGAGGCCATGCCCTGAACTGTTCCCTTCCTTCTCGGTCTTCCCGAGGGCGCGTGGACGTCCAGTGGGGATCCCATCTTCTCACGCTGCCACCTGAGTGCTCTCCTGTGAACCCTGGTAGACACGTCCGCCTTTCAGGGCACCTGGATGGGTCTTGCGCTCTTCACTCTGTCTCAAAGCTGCTCCTGCCCTGGCCGGTGTGCTCAGTGGTTAGAGCGTTGGCCTGCCCACCGAAGGGGCTTGGGTTTGATTCCTGGACAAGGGCATGGTACCTGGGTTGCGGGTTTGCTCCCCGCCCCCGGTCCGGGCACATGGGGTAGGAAACCAGTCGATGTATCTCTCTCACATCAATGTCTCTCCCTCTCTCTCTCTCTCTCTCTCTCTCCTCCCCGCCCCCGCCTCCCTACCTTTCCCTCTTTCTGAAAAGCAATGGAAAAAATATCCTCAGGTGAGGAATAACCAAAAATAAATAAATACATAAAAAAACAATAAAAATATTTAAAGCTGCTTCTTCCACATGATAACCCTTCGTTAGTTGAATGCCAAGAGCACGCCCGGACACTTTTATTTTCTTAGGCTAAGGAGACCCAGTTCCCACCTGCGCCCTGAAAGGCATGGCTTGCGACCGCACCGTCCTCCGCTCCCCATCTGTCAATGTCCCTCTTTAAACATCGCGCCCAGGAAGGCGGGCCCGGCGAGAGAACGTGGCGGAGAGCAGGGCTGGCCATGCTTTCTGTCCGGAGGAAAGCGTGTGGGTTCGGCTCGCTCTCTCTCTCCATGAAATGAACCCAAACAGTCTTAACCCAGCACGAGGCTCGGGGACCTAGGCTCGGCCCCTGGGGACTGGGCTCGGCCCTCAGGGTCAGGGTGCGCCTCTGCCGGTCTTGGCTCCGCCCTTGGGGTCGGGGCTCAACTCTTCTGGGGCAGTTGGGCTCTTCGGGGCTTGGGCCATTCGCTGGGGACTAGCTTCACCTCTTCAGGCCTCAACCCCACTCCCTGGAGCTACTCTAGGCTCTTCGGTGCTGGGCTCCGCCCTTCTGGACTGGACTCGGCTGTTCTGGGCCGGGCTCAGCTGCTCTGGACCAGGGTGAGCTCTTTGGGGCGAGGCTCGGCTTTTGGGGCCCTCGGCTCCACTCTCAGGCAAAATTAAGAGAACTAGGAGGAGAGAAGCAAGAGATGAGAAAATTGAGAGAACGAGGACTGATTAAGTCCTCTGATTGGACTGAGTTGATTAGATCGGCGAAGGAGGACAGGACGTCAGCCACGGCCAGCCTGTGGGCAGGCAAGGGGGTGGTCCGGGATGATGTTCTTTGGCCCTCGGGCCTCCTGAGCTACCTCGGGGCTCGGGGAGAAGACCGAGGAGCCCCTCAGTCTCTGACTTCTGTCCCCGGGCAGCAGCTTCCTCTGATCCTCGGGTTCGTGTCCAGACTCTGAGCCTTTCCCAGGGCGATTCCTGGGGTTGGAGGGCAGGGAGGGAGGGAGGGACACACATTCACGGAGCCCAGACTAAGTCCACGCTTTGTAGGTGTTATTTCATGTTATCATCCCTGGAGGGATTGCATAGATGAGTAATAGGCTCAGAGAGGTCAAGTAACTTATCCAAGGACACACAACCACGGAGAAGCCGGAGATAAGACCACAGTTTGTCTGACCAAGAGCCCATGTGCTGTCCACTGTCCCACACCGCCTCCCAGATCAGGGAGGGGCTTGGGCATCTGCACCCTCTCCCACCCTGGGGCTGGCTATACTCATTGGACTTCCTTCCATATAACAGTAGTTACAGGCCTGCTGTTAGAGCTTGTAATTCAATGTATTAAGAAGGACACTCAAACAAAAAAAAAGACACTCATATATTACTATATCACACATTTTAAAGTATTTCACCAGCTCTGGCTGGTGTGGCTCAGTTGGTTGAGCACCATCCCATGCACCAGAGGGTAGCTGGTTTGATTCCCATAGGGCAGTGGTTCTCAACCTTCCTAATGCCGCGACCCTTTAATACAGTTCCTCATGTTGTGGTGACCCCCAACCATAAAATTATTTTTTGTTGCTACTTCATAACTGTAATTTTTCTACTGTTATGAATCATAATGTAAATATCTGATATGCAGGATGTATTTTCATTGTTACAAATTGAACATAATTAAAGCATAGTGATTAATCACAAAAACAATATGTAATTATATATGTGTTTTCCAATGGTCTTAGGCGACCTCTGTGAAAGGGTCGTTCAACCCCCAAATGGATCGCGACCCATAGGTTGAGAACCGCTGCCATAAGGGTACATGCCCTGTTGTGGGCTCCATCCCCAATAGGGGGCGTGCAGGAGGCAGCTGATGGATGTTTCTCACATCAATGTTTCTCTCTCTCTACCTCTCCCTTTCTCTAAAATAAATTTTTAAAAGGAAAAAAAAACCCCACTTCAATCACTATATTTCAGTTTATACTATATATACGATAGGTTTCCTTTACAATCTTACCTGTTTTATCTTAGGCATTTAAAAACATTATTCCAGGAAGGGGCTCGTAGCCTTCCCCAGACCGCCAAAGGTGCTTGCGGCACAAAAATGGTTCATGACCCCTGGGCTAGAGAAGCGCACGGAAGCATTTATGGATGACATGGCACAATGTCGGACTTTGCTTGAACAGACTTGGCAAAATGAGAACAGCAGACAAAGCAGGAAGGGGGTTAAAAACTATTGAAGCTGAGTGACGGGCCCACAGGAATTCTTTGTTCTACTTTCATGTATGTTTGCACATTTCCCAATAAAAAGTTCTTGTAGCTGTTTTCAAACATTTGCATGTGACAAGATAATAGTCCTTAAATGTTGATAAACAAGAAGATTATAAACCACACCTGTGCTTCTGTGGCTACCCAGAGTAACCACTATTGAGTTTGCAAACATATACTTTGAGTTTTGTTTTTTTTTTGCTTTGTTTGTTTTGGGTGTTGATCTTTTCATGCTGATGAGTGGATCTCTATTCTCAGTTCAATGCCTACCAGTTAGTAGGTAAATAAGTAAATAAACAGACGGTGCCTTTGCTGATCTTGACTTAGAGACCCCACAGAAGGGGCTGGGTCTCAGAGACCCCCCTCCAGTATCGCTGGATTCTTGTCTGGGGGTTCACTCGTCCAATTTTTCTCCCCTCTTTTTTAAAAAAGTATTTTTATTGATTTCAGAGAGGAAGGGAGAGGGAGAGAGAGAAACATCAATGATGAGAAAGCATCATTGTGGGGCTGCCTCCTGCATGCCTCACACTGGGGATTGAGCCCGCAATCCAGGCATGTGACCGGACCAGGAATTGAACCATGACCTCCTGGTTCATAGGTCAACACTCAACCACTGAGCCACGCTGGCCGGGCCACTCCCCTTTTTAGCAGCAGAGTCATCCACCTCTCAGAAAGCCAGAACCCCAAACAATTGCAGTGATATCCACTCTGTTGAGCCCTGCAACTCAGTATGGGGAAGAGGTGCTGGTATGGGTGGGATCAAGTGTCCACGCTGTGTCCACACTGACTGTGTGAGGCAGGCAGAGCCTC